AAGGCCAAACGAATAATTAGGAGAATTACAAGGCAGTCAGCCTCCTTTCAATCCCTTTGAAAATCAGGGTTTGAGTCTTCTTGGAGCATATTCTGGGCACATGAGGGAGAATAAGGTGACTGGAAACAGTCAGCATGGATTTACCAAGGTCAGTTGATCAGTCACCAACTTGATAGTCTTCTATAAGAAAAAAGTCTGCATTTGTACATAATGACAAAGTACTAGATGTCACCTTGACATTAGCAAGGTTTTTCATGCTGTCTCTGACAATATCCTTGTATCCAAGTCAGGCTGTTATGGGTTGGATGGATGGGTGGGTGGATGGACAGACAAGACAACTAGCTGTGGAAAAAAAAGCTGGTTGTATGGTCAGGCTCAGAGGTCATGATCATGAGCCAGCAATGTGCCCTGACAGCAAAGGAAACCAACAGCATCCTGGATTGTATGAACAGGTGAATTGCTGGTAGATTGAGGGAAGTGATTATCATCCTTTACTTCACGTCTGTTAGACCACATCTAGAATACTCTGCCAAGTTTTGGATATCCCCAATACTGGAAAGACATTGACAAACTGGAATGAGTTCAGGGGAGGGCTGTTGAAATGGTTGGGGCTGGAGCACTTGCCCTGTGAGGGCTGGGGAAAGTGGGTTTGTTCAGCTTGGAGAAGAGCTGGCTTTTGGAGGACCTAAGAGCAGCCTCCCCAGGACTGCAAAGATGGCGTCTAGAAAATTGAACCAAGCTCTTTACTGAGGTCAAGTGGGAGGATGAGGGAAAGTGGTCATAAAATAACATGGGAGTTTCTGACCTGAGGCAAAGAAAAACTTTAAGACAGCCAAACACTGGAACCAGTTGCCCGGAGAGGTTGTGCAGTCTCTATCCTTAGAAGTTTTCAAGTTTTCAAGCTGGACAAAGGGGCGAGGAACAATCTGGTTTGAACCCATAGCTGATGGAGCTGTGAGCAAGCGATTGGACTATAGACCTCCTGAGGTCCCATCTAACCTGAATTATTCTATGATTCAGGGAATTCAAACCTCCATTTTTAGATGAGGTAATGGAGAAGACTGTTGAGAATACAATGTTTTGGGTAGTAGATAGGAGGTTTGACAAGGCAAAGTGACTCAAATGAGAGATGGTGTGGGAGAGGGGAAGGGGCAGCAGGAAGACTGTGAATTTTGTGGAACTGACATTTATTCCAGACCTAGAATTGCAGCTTTTGGGTTAAAAACGTACAAGAAGTCGGTGCTTTTGATAGCTGAGACTAGGACAGCTGTGATTGCAAATCTGCTTTACTCAAAATATTAATCTATGCTGAGCGGGTTCAGAATTTAATCTTTTTTCTTTCTTTCCTCCCAGCTAGAAAGTCTTTGATACCCTGGCTTCTTTCTTTAAACTGTATTTCAAGGGACACGATCTGATGCAGGCTCCTGCATGTCGTGACATTTTTGAGAATCCGCTTGGCGTCCATTTCCTTCCTCTGGTGATGCTGGGGCAGGGAAGAGTGTGGGGAGAAGAGGCTTACAGTATTGTAAAGCAGAATACAGTGTTGTGGTTTATTGTAGGAATATAACTCATATCTGAAACATGCAAGTGGGAGGTGGGAAGCTAGGGTCAGGGTGTCACAGTCTGATAATTTTAACTGGCTGTGTTTTGCTAATTCTGCATCGATATTCATTCATCTGATAATGGTTGTGGAGAGGTTGTGTGCAGCTGTAGTGTGTTCTGTGCTTTCCTCATATTTTTGTGAAGATAAAAGGCAGATAATTATAAAGGCTGTTTTGTATGACCACTCTTACCTAACATAACGTGGAGGTATGATCTGATCTTAAGCCCATTGTCAGGGTATGTGATCACAGTAGACCTAGTCTTGAATAGAATTATATAGAATATTGTATATGACATTTTTCAGCCATATTAGCCAGTAAACTCTGGTTGACTATCTAGTTGGAATTTGGTGGTGTTAATAGAAAAAAAATAATAGTTCTAATTTTAGGAACTTTTAATTGGGGTTTGTGTACAAAAATAGAATGTTTTTGTCTTAAGAGAAACTGAAGTGTTTGAATTCTTGAAATGATTTGAGTAGAAGCTGTTTTATACTGTGGTTTTGTAAAAATGTATTTTAGAACCTGAACTGTATCCTGCCTGCAGTTATTTTTTTAGGAATAATTTATTTTTTTTAAACAGCTCATCAGGCTTACAGACATTTATGTAAATAGAAGGCACATTAGATTAAATATTTATTGTAGCAGAGGTTTTCAGCAGGACTTACATGCTCAAATCACACTGTCATTCTTAGGAAACCTCTTACGTGTCCTTGTGGGCAGGCTACCTGTGAATGCATGCAAGCAAGTAAACGCACGAGACTGTTGTAAAAGCAAAAGGCTGTTAAGTGCTTGTTCTGTATTTCCTGCTTTCCCACTACACTTAAAATAGAAACTTCTACAGAGAGCTTTACTTCATGTGGCATTAGGGAAGTAATTTGGTTAAGTGTTTGACATATTGCTTGGCAAAGTGGAGTTACTGTAGCTGCATGAATTCACTGGAATTCAGTTCTAAATGTATTTAGGTCTTCGCCATAGCTTTCTAAAACCATTATCTTAATGAAAACTAACAGATGTTAAACATCTTGTAAGTGACACTTAAGATTCTTGCAAGGTGGAAATGATCAGTGTTTCCATAATGACTGGTGTCCTCTCTTGTCATTTAAAGTGAGATTTCTGGAAAACATGTGGTTGCAGAATTGTATCTTGTATCTTTCCCTTTTTCATAAGGAAAAAAATCTGTGTAGTGCTTTTTGTTACAGAGAAAAGAATTTTAAGTTAATTCTGTCTTCCTGAGTTTGTGGATTATTTGAAACAATGGACATAAAGTGAATTGTGCAATTTTTTTTCTCCTAGACTTGTGAAGGCTGAGTTTTGGCAAACTTGCCAATTTGAATGACTTGGTTTACATACAGTTGGTCTTACATTATCAATTAATTCCCTCTGCCTCATGAAAGTCTCGTAGTGCAAATGATGCCTTGATTGCCTACCGTATCTCCAGCCTGTCCTCTTTTCTCCACTTCGTCCTCTTCCTCAAAGTAAAAAACGAATAGCCCTGAGTTACTGTGACCTATAAAATAAAATAGATGCCATTAAGTACTGGTAATTTGGTGTTCGGTTAGGACTGCCGTGGCTATGTAAAAACTTAGAGTGTAATGGTAATACTTCCTCCTTTCATTGTAACAGCTTAACGTGTTTGGATTTTTAGAGACAGGATCTATGATCTTATTTCACTTGCACAGACGATAACTGGCATCCTAAAGAACAAACCACATTGAAAGAATTGCCCATAAATTAATCAGTCTTGGGACCATGCCTGTGAACTGTGACAAGGATAATAATATTTGAGAATTGCTACATTGTACACTTCCTGGGATTGTAGGGTTATACAGTCTTTCTCTGAGTTCAGTTCTATATTAAGTTTTAAGAAAGTGCTATAGTACTTGGTTGCCTGACAGTACTTAGGAGTCAGAGTATTGTCTTCAGTTGTTTTGTTATATATTTATAGAATCATAGGGCGATTTAGGTTGGAAGGGACCTTAAAGACCATCTAGTCCACCCCCCCTGCCGTGTGCAGGGACACCTTCCACTAGACCAGGTTGCTCAAAGCCCCATCCAACCTGGCCTTGAACACTGCCAGGGATGGGGCATCCACAGCCTCTCTGGGCAACCTGTTCCAGTGCCTCACCACCCTCACAGTGAAGAACTTCTTCCTTACATCTAATCTAAATCTACCCTCTTTCAGTTTAAAGCCATTACCCCTTGTCCTATCACTACATGCCCTTGTCAAAAGTCCTTCTCAGCCGTTCTTGTAGGCCCCCTTTAGAGGTACTGGAAGGCTGCTCTAGGTCCAGGATATTGATTTCCCATTTTTGTTTAAGTCTCTTCGTGCTATAAGGAACTTTTTTTTTTTCCTTCATTGTCTAGGTATCTTTTCATAGTCATCAAGCTAAAGGCTTTCTGCAGCATGACAGATTAAGCACAGTCATGTGCTGATCTGTAAGATGGTGAATGCAATGTAAGGGAAAAGGAAAGGATAAGCTCCTAGGGAAAAGGCATGATAAGATTTAAAACAAATGGATTTGAACTATTACCATTTTGCAGCAAGCAGAATAACCACCAGCTCTTGATGTTTTGGTTGTGGTGTGCACATAGCACAGAATATATTTCCACAAAACAAATTTTGGCAGTTATGGCCACATTAACGTTTTTCCAAAAGAAGCAATGAGAGTTGTGAATAGTGCCAAACTCAGTTTTCTGAACTGCACTGTAGATAGCTATTGTAATGTTATGTACACAAAATGTAATAACACTTTTACATTGTGTACTATTGTTTATCTATAGGCATTAATTTATATCAGTTTAATGGATACAGGACTCACAAGTCTCTCAGAGCTCATGGTTTTTAAAGTTGAGTTAACACTGATTAATAAAAGAGTAAAGAGTGAAAAATAAAATAATTTGAATTAAAGAGTTCATATTCTAACTTTATTTTGTATGTGTGCTGCTATGATGTGCATGGCAAAGGCATAAGATTGTTAGGCACTGAAGTCAGGTACAATAGCAGTTGGTCATCTTTACTCTCCTTAGGAAAATTAAAACTAATATTTAGGCCTAGATCCATCTGGCTTACATTCATTTTACCAAACTCTGTTTCTGAAAGGAATCTGATCTAAACTGCTCATGTGGATTTCCTCTTTAGTCATTGGTGGGGTAAAGATACTTTCAGGTCTTTCAGGTCCTGATTTCATCATTTGTCTTAAGGATGAAACACTTGCTAAAAGTGCCTTGTCTTCCACTCTGCACTGAGAGTACAGGGATCCCCAAATGCCTGACACTCAGCAGGTAAAGCAGAGGGAAAAATTTTCCTATAGAAAAACACCGATGTGACCATATACTCAGTGCTACCACTGTTCAACACGTTTTTTGGGGTTTTTTTTTGTGTTTTTTTTTTTCCTACAGGTCCATGAAGGATTCTTGGAAAACAAGACTACTCCCATAAATGTCAGTACCACCAGCAGTTCTTCTGAGAAAAGGAGTACTGATTTACGCATATATATGCTGGGTTTCCTGCCATTCATGATCCTCCTGGTCTTTATTCGTGACCTTAAGAGCCTGTCCTTTCTTTCATTGCTTGCCAATCTGTCCATGGCTGTCAGCCTGGTGATCATTTACCAGTATATTGTTAGAGTGAGTATGAAAAAAAGTTTATTATCTTTTTTTGTTGTTGTTTTTAGTGTGGCAAGTTGTATTTGTTGCATATGGCAGTTGGTCTCTGATGGATGTATACTGACTGACAATTTCTGAAAGGCAGAATTATGTATTTAATGGAGGCATCTTAATTTAAAGAGGTGCCTTAATACTTGAGACATGCTTTAAACCAGACTTTTACAGTACTTTTGAAAGAAAGGATAATATTGCTGCACTTAATAAAAATATGTATTGTAAAGTCCTGGAGTCCTTGAGTGGAAGAATATGTGAATTTTTATGGGTTGCGCATAGAACTTGCAAGGTTTTAATCTGGGTCAATCTTTTTGTTGCAACACAAGAACAATTTCAACAGCAACATTTATTTCTAGTGTTTCTCCAATACAGTCAGGAAAAATTTAAGACTTAACCCTTTAAGAATACATATTACAGACTTCCACCTCCTGAGAAGTTGAATAGTTGCTGCATTTTCTGGGTTGCGGCTGTTTTTCATATTTGGAGGCATTCCATAATGGAAAAAAATCACATCTAGAAACCTCTACGTTTTTCTTATGATTTTTGAAAAGTGATAAGTGATAGACACTGTTGCACATGGTGTAGATAAGTGGTGAGTGCCACTATTGTTTGAGAAAGCTTTCACATGAGTGTTATTAGACAAGGGGGAAGTGGAGGATGGGGATGAAGGCAGAAAAGCCAGCAAGAGGTATTGGCTGGGCGAGGAGGCGGGAGAAGTTACACAGAAGCGATTGGGGGACATAGTCATTAATTGTTCTGCAGGAACTCAGCTTGTATTAAAAAGATTTTCTTTTACTGTCCCTTATGGTTACGAAGAATATTTGTCCAGTATGAAAAGAGATTAAAAAATGCAATACTCTGAGAATAGCATAAGTTTGCAGAAGATTAAGCTTGAGGTGTGAGCTTTCCCTTTTGTTTTAATTGATGCTCACTCATATACACCAGTGTGATACTTTGAATGTGAGTATTTCTAGTGTCAGTAATATGAACCTAGAATAAATATATCTGCAACTGTCTGTGTGTGTGTGGGAAGACGGCTATAAATATGTATATAGGACTAAGTTTGGGAGGAAAACCAGGGATTGTAAATAGCAATGTATACACCACTGTCAACACGTACTGAGTTTTCTCTCCTATAGCATAACACAACAATCAAAATTGTAGGAACAGCTAATGTGCTTTACATAGCACTGTTTTGCTTTGTTTCTTCAGGATATAGTAGATCCTCGAAAACTGCCTCCTGTGGTTGGCTGGAAGAAATACCCACTGTTTTTTGGGACTGCAATATTTGCTTTTGAAGGAATTGGTGTGGTAAGTGCTTTTTACTGACTTAAAAAAATTTGAGTTTGTGCTAGACGATGGGACACCCGGCAGTTTTACTCCTGTTGTTATTTAGTTGTTTTTGTTGAAACAATAATCTCCCATGTTGATATGAAAAGGGTTAATTTATCTTGTCAAATGAGGCAAAAGTTGAGGACACAACATCCCCTTCAAAGGGGAGTTTGGTGAATAATGATTGCTACTTGGGACACTTAGCACCTTCCCAAATTACAAGAATGTCTTCAGTTCTAAATAGAGTGAGACAATACTGTAATAATAACTAGTATCATAATATGCTATATAATAATTTAATACTCAGCTAATAATATGATGATACTATAATTATAATGATTCAGCGGCTCAGTTTTAGGTGATGAATGTGTAAAAATAGAAAGCTATTCAGCATCCTTCTTTTCCTTTGGGATCACAGAGGACAGTTATTTATTAGAAATGTATTATTCTTCCTGCTTCAAACTTGTCTATAGATCTGACTTGACAGAGATGGAGTTGATAAGAAAAAGGATAGAAATTTAAGAATATTTTTTTAATTCATGGCCTTCTTACAATGAAACTCAGTTCCTCATTGTTTCCTGAAAGATGTCAATTAAATAGATTTATCACTGAAAATTCGGGTTTTAAAAGTGGATCTTTTTAAATCTCTTACTTTTTCCTGATTCTAAGGGCTTTCTGATTGCATCTCACACTAGCAAAGTTTGCAAGATAGCACTTTTGTTCCACATGGCATATTTTAAAAATGTAGCCAAGGAGGCTTCTGGGAATGGTAGGTCATAATGTCTTTAAACTGTTGGGAAATTACTATATACACTTTATTTGCTACTAATATAATTATGCACTTCAGCAAGTGTTACTGTATGCTTAAAACTAAAAAAACCCAACCCTAAAACCCAAATAAAACAACACCTCCACCGTCCAAAAAAACCCCAACCAAACCAACCCCAAACCAGCATGCCATTAATCTGAAATGATGGTCATGAATGTAACACAGGAGAGTTTTTTCAAATCTTTTTTCTTTTCTGGAACTGTCAGCACTGCATTAAACCAGAATACACCCTGCTTCTGTATTATCACTGCCAGAAGAGCTGAATAGGAAAACCTTTTAACTCCTATTATGTTGCAAAAGTGTGTTTTCACGCATGGGATATGTGGATCTAGTGACTGCGAGTCTGCATTTCTCAAACTGTTCTTGACTGTTTCTCAAACTGTGAACTGACTGATGCAGAGGTTTAGCTGCCATATTTCTGAGTGTATCCGGACATCTTCCCTTTTGTGATCTGGAAGTTCCGTCATAGAAGATCAGCCATTTGTCTGGGATTGTTTGATGCCTACAAGTCTTGGGCAAAAAACCCATACTCAGTGAATCAGATTGCGCTATACTAAGCTTGTTGCTCTTAAATTGTATATTCTGTCTGGGACAGACTGCATTTACTGCATGTGGGGAAATGCAAGTCACGTACAGTGGGTCTGATATGTATCCCAGTTGTATTAGATTTGCTCATGTACTGCCCAGCACGTGGGTGTGTATTTGTAGCCAGAAAATCCCAAATGAGAGTCCTGTGAGCCTCAGGAAAGTGTGGAAGGGTTCCCATTTGGTAGTAGTAGTTTATTGAATTATAGGTAGGGAATTGATGTATGGTAATTATTTTCTGCCACATTAGATGCCACGTTAGACAGCTCCTTAAATTTCCATCAGCAGTAGGAACACTGACTTCTGATGTAAACCTTTAAAGAACTGCCCAGAGCATTGTGCTTGATTGAATCCCTGGCTGTTACTAATGACATCTTTAAGAACTCCAAACTTTTTTCCTTCTTTTATTCAAGAGCATATAATGTAGGGTTCATTCGAATTGTACCTTTAAAGCATAAAAATATTGCTTGATATTATTAGATAATAGCATTACACAGTTGCATATATTTCTGTATAGGCAGTCTCAATTTCTTACTTGATCATAATTTACTCTTCAAAGGAAATGAAAAGTGCATTTTAGTTTTTTCACTTTGTTACTGATGTTTACAAACTAATTAGATGTTTATATTCTTTATGGTTTGATATACTTTGTGTGTGTGTTTACATTACACAAGACCATTAAAATAATGCAGGTACCTTTACAAATTAAAATTATAGTAAAAGTGAAAATCTAGAGCTTAAAAGTTTCTTATTTATATGTAAAATGATATTAATATGTCTTTGCCTCTCGGGGATATTTTGAACATTCATAATGTTTGCTGTGCATTCTTTGCTGTAGTTGCATGCACCATAGAGAAGATTTGAAGAAAAAAATTACTTTATGGATTTGAATAATCAGTACTAAATAAAGTTGTTTAAGCATGAAATAAAAAAGATGAGTGAAGCAGAGGCACACATTTCCACTCTAAATAGTTAATATTTCATACAGTTCTTGGTGATTGATTTAATTGGTAACTAGTTATTACAGCTCCGTAAGTTACCATCATAGACTGAACTGTGATATATCTGTATGTGTGTTTGTGACCTCTTGCAAATGTGAAGTGAAACACATTTAAAATTCTTTCACCGAGATGTGAGCTAATGCGTTTCAATTCACATTACAATGCATTAAGAATATTCACATAGTCAGTTGCTCAGTTGTGATAACCTGTTACCTTGTGTCTTAATTACTGTTTTTATATCCATGTGGTTGAATAGTTCCAGTAAGGAAAAGAAACTACACTATTGAATTAGATTGACTCCTTAGTCTGCTCTTTCTGAGTGCCGGCACTCAAAATGGATTTCCCTAATCTTGGTCTTGATGTTAGAGACTTGATTTTAGATTTTATTCTGGAAAGTCTTACAAATAACACTTATTCTGTGAAGCTATCTGAATATTACATTAAAAACAGAAGGCTTGAGGTCTTAATTTTATCAGAAAGTTTGATTATGGTTGATTCATTTTATGCAATAAGTTAGCCTTAAGCAGTTATGAGGCCTCATTTTTCCTTTTCCTTGATTCCAAACATTCTTTACGCTAATTCACACCGTACTCATCTGAGAGCTGCGAGATTACTGAATGTTATGAACAGGGACAGCAAATGAAATTCTGAGTTTTTTGGGCTGGTTAAATTATCTTAAGCAGAACCTGACGTGAAAGGAAAAATGCCCTTGGTGTGGTTTCTCTGCCACCATTGTTCTGTTTAAAATGGTCTTTCCTGCTAGGAATATTTAATGATCAACAATTTGAGTGGAGGAATAAATGACCTATCAGGCATTGTATAAAACAGTACACCTTAGCCATAGCAGTCAGGAGGATTTCTTTTCAAAGATACTTCATTGATTCTGTTTTTATTAACAGGGGAGTGGCTAACGTAGACAGAAAATAATTGGCAGTTCATAATGCCATCATGCTCAGTATGGAAACATCTGTTTTTCTGGTTTCTTTGAATCAAATAATTGGCTGCAGGGAAAATACTCTAGCTCCGATTTTTCTCATCCTGTTGTATAAAAAGGTTTTTATATATTGATTTTTAGATATTGATTTATTTTTCTGTGTTCTTTTAGTTCAGCACTTGTCATCACTTGAAGTATGACCATAGTTCTTCAGTAACTCTATTAAAATTAGTGAGACTAATTAAACAGAGGAGTCTAAAGTCCTGTTCACTTTGGGAAAAGGGAAAAGTGATTCTGGAAGGTGCAGTGATTCAGCAGATTCCTAGTAGGATTTTCTTCTTGATCTTGAGAGAGCGTATTTCTCTTTTAGATGGTGTGTGTACAAACATGGGTTTTGGTTAAAATCTGTCATTTAGTTTAGGACTGATTAGCTGTCCCTGTGTAAAAAGAAAATCAGCAGTATGGAAGTAATTTGGAGTATTGTTGCTTTGGCTATAGTCGATCTGTAGATAAATAGACTTTAAGAACTTTAGTTTTACTAACTTGTGTCTGTAGTAACTCCAAGGAGGAAGGGTAGCTTATTTATAATTGAAATATAGAATCTCAAATAAACCAAGGCAGTGCCTCGAAACTAGTACTTGTGTAATACTAAGATCTAGTTAAACATTTCATCAGCCAGTGTTATAAAATTATTTCGTGATATTTTCATTAAAATAAAAATAATTAATGTGATGAATTGATTATATTAGTAAGATGATTTGAGCTGTTCATTTCTGCCTGCGAGATCAATCTAAACTCTTATTTGATGGCAGACTTGAACAATTTTGTCATTTTGGTAAAGTCCAGGCAAGTTGTTCGTTTGTTGCTACAACTACTACAGCAGAAATAAGGTTAGTGCTGTCAAAGGGCTGATTAATGTTAATGCATGCTAAACTCTGAGTGATAGTTGTAACAGGATTAAAAAGTGCTGCAGTCTGTTGCTTGTGCTGTTCATTTCTTTGCTCCCTGTTTTGAGCTGTCTGTAAAAATGGGGTCACTGCTGACTGGTATAAGGTACCTGCTGCAAATTGTGAATGTCTTGGCAGCCAGGTGGTAATCATCGCTGTGTGCTAACAGCAGGAGTTCGCAGCAGGGTGTCCTGGTTTCAGCTGGGATAGAGTTAATTTTCTTTCTGGTAGCTAGTGTTATGTTTTGGTTCAGTATGAGAAGAATGGTGATAACACACTGATGTTTTCCTTTGTTGGTAAGTAGTGTTTAGACTAAGTCAAGGATTTTTCAGCTTCTGATGCCCAGCCAGCAAGAAGGCTGGAGGGGCACAAGAAGTTGGGAGGGGACACAGCCAGGACAGCTGACCCAAACTGGCCAAAGGGGTATTCCATACCATTTGATGTCATGCCCAGTATAGAAACTGGGGGGAGTTGGCCTGGGGGGGGATCACTGCTTGGGAACTAACTGGGCATTGGTCAGCGAGTGGTGAGCAATTGCATTATGCATCACTTGTTTTGCATATTCCAATCCTTTTATTATTATTGTCATTTTATTATTGTTACTATTATCATTATTAGTTTCTTCTTTTCTGTTCTATTAAACTGTTCTTATCTCAACCCACGAGTTTTACTTTTTTTTTTTT